TTAGGACAAGCTTGCTGTGTGTCAAATTTGGTGTCATTTGGGTTATTAGAATTTGTGCTGTTAATCATCCTGAAAATCCTGAAATTTTGATGAACATCGTTACCCAGGGCCGAAAAATGGGGGTCCCCGTTAACCACTTGTGTCTCCGCCGTCGCCTTCGCCTTCTCCACCGCCGCCTTCGCCTTCTTCTTCTTCTTCTTCTCCTTCTCCTCCTTCTCCTTCTTCATAGCCTTCTTCTTCTCCGCCGCCTTCTCTCCTCCTCCTCCTTCTTCATAGCCTTCTTCTTCTCCGCCGCCTTCGTCACCGTCGCCTTCTTCGCCTTCGCTGCCTTCGCCGCTGCCTTCGCCTTCTTCTTCGCCGCCGCTCCCGCCGCCTTCGCCGCCGCCGCCGCCGCCGTCGCCTTCTTCGCCTTCGCCGCCGCCGCCTTCTTCGCCTTCGCCGCCGCCGCCTTCGCCTCCTTCGCCTTCGCCTTCGGCTTCGCCTTTGCCTTCGCCTTCGCCTCCGCCTTCGCCTTCGCCTTTGCCTTCGCCTTCTTCGCCGCCTTCTCCTCCTCCTCCTCCTACTCCTCCTCCTCCTCCTCCTCCTCCTCCTCCTTTCTTCACGCCTCCTTCTTCTCCGCCGCCTTCTTCTTCTTCACCGCCTTCTTCTTCTTCTTCACCGCCGCCTTCTTCTCCGCCGCTGCCTTCTTCTCCGCCGCCGCCTTCTTCTTCCCCGCCGCCTTCTTCCCCTTCGCCGCCGCCTTCTTCGCCTTCGTCGCCGCCTTCTTCGCCTTCGCCGCCGCCTTCTTCGCCTTCACCGGCGCCTTCTTTGCCTTGACTGCTGCCTTCTTCGCCGCCGCCTTCTTTGCCTTCGCCGCCTCCTCCTTCTTCTTCTTCTTCTTCTTCTTCTTCTTCTTCTTCTTCTTCTTCTTCTTCTTCTTCTTCTTTTTCTTCTTCTTCTTCTTCTCCTTCTCCTTCTCCTCCTCCTTCTCCTTCTCCTCGTCCTCCTTCTTCATAGCCCTCTTCTTCTCCGCCGCCTTCTCTCCTCCTTCTCCTTCTTCATAGCCTTCTTCTTCTCCGCCGCCTTCTCTCCTCCTTCTCCTTCTTCATAGCCTTCTTCTTCTCCGCCTTCTTCTTCTTCTCCGCCGCCTTCTTCGCCGCCTTCTTCGCCGCCTTCTTCGCCGCCGTCGCTGCCGCCGCCGCCGTCGTCGTCGCCGCCTTCGCCTTCGCCTTCGCGTTCTTCGCCTTCGCCGCAGCCTCCTTCGCCTTCTTCGCCTTCGCCACCTTCGCCTTTGCCTTCGCCTTCGCCGCTGCCTTCACCTTCTTGGCCGCCTTCGCCTTCTTCGCCTTCGCCTTCGCCTTCTTCACCTTCGCCTTCACCTTCTTCGCCGCCTTCGCCTTCCCCTTCTTCTCCGCCTTCGCCTTCGCTGCCGCCTTTGCCTTCTTCGCTGCCTTCGCCTTCTTCTTCTTCCTCTTCTTCTTCTTCTTCTTCTTCGCCTTCTTCTTCTTCTTCTTCTTCTTCTTCTTCTTCTTCTTCTTCTTCTTCTTCTTCTTCTTCTTCTTCTTCTCGGTTTTCGCCTTCTTCTCCTTCGCCTTCTTCTCCTTCGCCTTCTTCTCCTTCACCTTCTTCGCCTTCTTCTCCTTCTCCTTCGCCGTCTTCTTCTTCTTCTCCTTCTTCTTCTTCGTCTTCTTCTTCTTCTTCTTCTTCTTCTTCTTCTTCTTCTTCTTCTTCGCCTTCTTCTTCTTCGCCTTCTTCTTCTTCGCCTTCTTCTTCTTCTTCTTCTTCTTCTTCTTCTTCTTCTTCTTCTTCTTCTTCTTCTTCTTCGCTTTCTTCTTCTTCTTCGCTTTCTTCTTTTTCTTCGCCGCCTTCTTCCCCGTCTTCTTCTTCGCCTTCTTCGCCTTCTTCGCCTTCTTCTTCTTCTTCTTCTTCTTCTTCTTCTTCTTCTTCTTCTTCTTCTTCTTCTTCTTCTTCTTCTTCTTCTTCGCCTTCTTCGCCTTCTTTCTTCGCTTTCTTCGCCTTCGCCTTCGCCTTCTTCGCCTTCGGCTTCGCCTTCTTCGTCGTCATCGTCTTCTTCTTCTTCGTCTTCCTCTTCTTCTTCTTCTTCTTCTTCTTCTTCGTCGTCGTCGTCTTCTTCTTCCCCTCTTTCCCCTCCTTCCCCTCCCCCTCCTTCTTCCTCCTCCTCCTGCTCCTCCTCTTCTCCTCCTCCTCTTCTCCTCCTCCTCTTCTCCTCCTCTTCTCCTCCTCCTCTTCTCCTCCTCTTCTCGTCCTCCTCTTCTCCTCCTCCTCTTCTCGTCCTCCTCTTCTCCTCCTCCTCCTCCTCCTCCTCCTCCTCCTCCTTCCTCTTCTTCTTCTTCCTCCTCCTCCTCCTCTTCTCCTCCTCCTCCTTCTCCTCCTTCTTCTCCTCCTCCTTCTCCTCCGCCTTCGCCTTTTCCTCCTCCTCTTCCAAAATCTGGTTGGGCTATGTAATGCATCCATGGTGCCCCATGGTGTGCCTTTTTTGTGGCTTTGCCGTCGCTGCTGTTCTGTTAAGGCGTGAGGTTTCTGTGTGATCAGCCCACAGGGTTGTCCTGTCCTATCAACAGCTTAGCACCAGTGGGGCCTGCAGTCCCATGGCAGTCCTTGTGTTGTGAATGTTCGCATCCCATCTATCTATGCTCTTCTTCCTTTTTTCCTTCTCAAAGCCCCATTGGTATCTAATGCATCCATGATGTCCGTTTTTCGTGGATTTGCGGTTGCTGCTGTTCTTTACAGGCGTGAAGTTTGATTGTGATGGGCCCACGAATTCAACCTGCATTACGTCGGGGCATGAGGTGTTGAAACGACTTTCACTGGATAATTTTTCGGTATGTGGCAAACTGTTGGAGTATTTTTATTTTTATTTTCTTGATTTTTTTTATTTTTTGTTTTTTACTTTTATTATGCAATGGCGAGTAACTTTCATTTCTATCAGCCTATACAATTGTTCTGGTTTTTTTTTTTTTTTTTTTTTTTTTTTTTTTTTTTTTCAATCAGCCTGTAAATTTGATGTGTTCAACGACTTCGACTGTTATTTGTAGTGAATGAGAGGGAACTTAGGGAAGTGATTATACAACAACCCCCCATGGCCATTGTTCACAAGCAAACAAAAGGCGAACACTCTTCCGTCGGACTTCACCCAAGAATGGCGAAGACATCGAAGGGCAGAACAGAACAGCACCAACGGGCTTTTAGCTCAGTCGGTAGACTCATGAACTTTCGAAAAGCAGACCTGAGTTTGAATCCGGATGGAACGAGATGAACAAAATTCCTGAAATAGCTGAGACCGATCAGTTTCACGATGATGATATCTCAGGGCTGTCCCCCTTTTGGGGAAGAAGAAAGAACAGATCAGTTTCAACTTTCACGATGATGATATTTCAAGGCTGTCACCCTTTTCAGGAGGGTTTTTTCAGGGTCATTATAACAAACGCTGCACACGGGCAAAAAAAAAAAAAAAAAAAGAAAGAAAGCTGAAAAAAAATCATCCCCAAATGTACTTTTCAGTGCGGGGGAAGTTAACCAGGGCTGAAAAGCGGGGGTCCTCTGTTAACTGCTTGTGGAAGAGAGATAGAAGCGCCCCAGCCCTGTCCGGGTTGAGATGTCGAGGAATTCCCGGCCTCATTGTTTGTTCATATAATAAAACTGCAGTTTTCTTCTTTACACACACACACACACCAAAAGAAAAAAAGAAAAAAAAAAAAAAAGAAAAAAAAAAACAGCAACATGAAATAGGAAACTCTGTTTTTTGTTTCTTTTTTCCAAACAGGAACTTGCGGATCATGCCTATGAAAAGAGACGAGAAGTGTGAAATAGGAACAGGGAGAAAGCCAAAAAGAGAAGAATAGTAAGGGGGATGCTCGCACTAGGACTTTTTCGATTCTTCTCTGGACGAGTCAGATTCATCCCCGTCCGGCCATTGTTGTAGTCAGATACATTAAAGAAAGTGCTAGTATGAATTAAAGAACAGTCCTACTTTGAGTACGCCCTGAGTAATGCTCTTCGAGAAGGTGAAGAGGCAAAGAACCAAATTGTTTGTTTCAACTTTCAATCTGACATCATCAGTGACATGTGTTTAAACTTTAAACTTTAAACCACCAGTACATCCAGCTATCGGCCGCTGGTTTCTTTTCGGAAGCCGCCCGCTGCCGATTCAATTTATTTACGGTGCTGGGCCTCCGAAATTTTCGTAGGTGACGAGTTTTCTGTTCAGCAAGACTGGGGCCACGTACTGGCAGTTTAAAGCACGCGTACATGTGTATCGCTTCTATTTCTTTGTTTTACAAAGACCAGTGGCCCCTAACCTTATTGATTCCGTCTGAGTCCACTAGGATTTGAACGCGTGACCCTGTTCGCTAACAGTTACAGACTTACAGTGAATGCCTACCACATACCCGCTGCAAGGGCTGCGTACTGAAGGTCTTTTGCGAATGATGATGGGTGATGGTCCTGGGTGGTTAAGACTCGGGTAGGACAGGGGGGGGGGGGGCGCGAGTGTAAAGAAAGATGAGAGGAAGGGTGGGTGGGGGCTTCACAGGGGTTCATCTGGACAATCGAATGAGCGTGACTGGTGGGTGACTAGTATCATCAGTCTAGGATCCCACCTCTGCAACAACCTGGGCTTTAAAAGAATTAAAAGAAAAACTTAAAAACACACACATAAAAGGGCCTTTACCCG